TCTGGTTCCCCTCCATGAACTACCTTTTTTCAGTTTCTCTTCAAAATATTTTCTCCTTTTTCTTCACCGCCAAGTTTCTTTTCGTGGTTGGAAATATCATAGTCATCATCCTCTTCAGAGAATTTATACAGGCAGGCTCAAATTCATCTCCGGCGACAGAGATTTACGACGAATACGTTGCTCAAATGCGCCGAAGTTGCATGGCACCTGCACCGTCCAATTATATGCAAGCAACCAAGAAAAAGGAGTTTCATGCAGAAAATAAAAAGGTAAAAATGTGCAGTGGGGCTGTGAAAAGGGAAAGAAGAGAAAAAGAAGAGATGAAAATTATACCAACTGAGGAGTTGAATCAAAGAATGGAATCTAAACAGGCAGGCTTCAATTCATCTCCAGTGACAGAGATTTCCGACGAATATCTTGCACCAACAAACAAGAAAGTACGGGAGGATAAAACGGAATATGCTGAAGATAAAATGTTCCATGCAGAAAAGACGAAAGAAATGAAAGTTTGCAGTGGGATCGTGAAAAGGGAAAAAAGAGAGAAAGAAGAGGAGAATTATATACCTACTGAGGAATTGAATCGAAGAGTGGAGGCTTATATTGCAAGAGTGAATAGACAGAGATTGCATGAAGCAGAATCATTATTGTGCAGGAGAGCCTAAAGTGATGAATTCGTCGTTTTTTTGTTTACATTTGTGTTGGCAACTCCAATTTTGTCATTTGGCATTCATCATTTATACCTCATATCTATTTGTCAAGAATTAATGCAAAAGAGAACATGAATCCAGCAATATAAACAGTAATTTGCTTATTATTAAGTAAATTTTCTTGTGTACGTCAGTATATGGTTGGTTATTGACATACATTTGAGTTCCTTTGCAAAAAAAAAAAAAAAAAGAATTATTTTTCATTTTTCTAAAATTAACAAAACTTACTTTTTCAAAGCAAAATTTAACTTAATTTTTAAGCACACGATCTTTATGTAGAGAGAGTGTGTCTGGTTTCAGTCGGCTGGAAGTGCATAGCAACGAAATGTGTCTTTGACTATTTGACATTTGGGAGTTGAAATGGTTGACCCAATCATATTCCTTCCTTAGCATAGAAGAGATTCGACATACTTCTAGGTTTCCCCACTCTATAGTAGCCAAANGTTTCCCCACTCTATAGTAGCCAAACAGGTTCAAATGCGTACCCTTTTACTCATCAAGTTAGTCTCTGACTTATAAAATTGGACAAATTACATTAGTGTTCAATGAGAGTGTCGCGCAAAATTTTATTCGATTGTCATGTGGCTTGTAAGAGTACATGTGTCTGATGGGTTATAAATCCACAAATTATGCTTTTTAACTTAGCGATGTGAAATAAAATTACATTAGTGTTCAATGAGAGTGTCGCGCGAAATTTTATTCGATTGTCATGTGGCTTGTAAGAGTACATGTGTCCGATGGGTTATAAATCCACAAATTATGCTTTTTAACTTAGCGATGTGAAATAAAATTACAATCATTATATTCCATCACTCTTTTCAGAACCATCGTCCACCATGATAGTTAGGTAACTGATAAGTATTTTTGTACAGTTATTTAGGATATTAAATTAGAATATTTTATATTATTTTTTGATAAATTATAGCATAATCTCGTGTATTTATCATTTGTTATGTAAAATTCAGTGATTGAAGTGAAATTGGAAGAAATAAATGAAAAATGGGCAAAATCCAAAGTTCGTAGATAAAATCGCAAATATTCAATAGTTGATTCATATCACAAAATGATGATTTAAGATTGCATTGGATGAATTTACAATTTGAAGCCAAATGAGTGAATTGTAGTCAAAGTATTCTCCCAAATCGATTTCCAACCGAATAAGTTATGTCCCAATTTTTTAGCATCAAATCAAGACTCGTTTTTTACATAGTAAACGTTTGAAATGATATATCTATAAGAATTGTAGCCATTTACGTCATCTTTTGAACACACTTTGAATCGTTTCAATCGAATATTAAGATAGAAAGACATAACAAAAATACTAAAGGGGACGCTGAGACATAACCACGCTTGTGCATGAGCTAAAGCCTTTCGTGCGCAAGGACCATTTTTGGGGCACCCGAGGACAAATCACTTGCCCATGTGTGGGCAAGCAACCGTACCATGCGTGGGCATATGCAAAATCTGGACCGACAGGCTAACTTTCTTTATTTCATACAAACTCTATATGGAAAGGACTTCGGATACTTTTTTCAAATCTAATTTTGCCTCCTATAAATATAGAATGACGGCGAAACATTAGGGGATCTCTCTCTCTCCCTCCCTCCTCTTATATCAATTCATATCATAAAATCTATTAAGAAATGAGGAACTAATTTAAAATAAGTTAGAGAGGAGAACAAACCTAACACAAGGATTATAGTTCACATCTTTTTCTTGTATTTATACATTACGGGGCGATACTTTTTCATTCTTCTTGTTGTTTTATCATAAGATGAACCTAATTGTTATTGGTTTTTAATTCAAAGATCAAGTAGTTTAGTAAATTTAAATTGTTGATTGATCTTGTATGTTTTGTCGCATTATTTTATAGCCTAATCATCAATTAAATAATTAGTTGCTTGTCGAAGTGTTGACAGACCCATAATAGGTTTGGAACACTGCAATTTCAACGCATGGACAATAGATGTTAGGACTAACACGTATTGCGAGTGCAATCATGTTGATAATCATGTGATTTAATGCGTTCTATGCATATGAGTTTGGACTAACTAGGAATAAGATCGAGTCGTGTTTAGAATATGTTTGACTTAATTCAAGAGAGATAATACAATAAGATTGGATTATCGATTGTCATGTATGCATAAATCACACTAAATTACATCGGTTGATAATTGAAAATATAATATAAATAAGTGGATTCAAAATTTCAACATATTCATCTCATATTTTAGTTAGGAATAATGTTAGTTAATTAGTAGTTTAACACAATTCTCTTTTGTTACATAAATTTGAATTTGATAACGTATTGATAGATTTCAATTTGAAGCTTATTTCTCATGAGACGATATTCTTAACTCATTAATCCATTACTTATCAACGATCCAATATGCTTGAGAGTTTTGTCTGAATAGTAACTTCATAGATTTAATCTTTTATGGAAGTTGCCCTCCCTCTTGTCCACAATGATGGTCATCCCGAAAGGGGGCATGGTCTGATATCAATTTTAACATCTTGATATTCGTAGAACTAGACTTTAAAGTAACTTCTGAGAGAATGATGTCCAATGGATTATAAGGCCATCTTAAACACTACACCAAAATTTGAGATAAGTTCCGCAACATTTTACACCAAATATTGCATCAAAATAAAACCGTCTTCAACCTATTATATCAAAACTTACACAAATGAACATTGTTTAATTATTTTCTTCATTTTTTTTTTATTCTTAACAATTTATTTATTTATTTATTTTACAACTACATAAATTATTAAATAAATATTTACATTAAATTAAAGAAAATATTGAATTATTATTGATTACTAAGTTATTCACTTGTTTAATTATGCATTACGTTAAATTGACAAAAATAATTGATTATATTATTAAAATTTATTATAAATAATTACGTTAAATTAACGAAAATAATTACCAAAATTTTTATTTCTTAATTTTTATTAATTATATTATTAAAATTTACTATAAATGCATACAACAACAACAACAATAATAATAGAATAAACACAATGTTTAGAAGAGAATCAATAATCCTTGTATTCATCATTGCCCTAATTATAGCGTTTATTTACATGAGTTTTATACAAAGTGAAATACAATTAGAGGAAATTAATTTTATAAATAAAAATAATTACAGTATTTGAATTTTGTTTTGTTTAAAGTCATCACTAAACTTTCAATATTGTTCCAAATTAATCACCACGTTGATGTCAATTAATGATTTGGCATCCGCATGGACAAAATGCATTCGTTTTTCATAGTCGAATCTCTTAAATCACTTAGCCCTTGGTTTGACATCCATTAAAATAAGTTTTTTTTTTTTTTGGGAAAACGAGTTTCGAATAGTGATTTTTTTGAAAAATGTGTGTTTAAAAAGTATGAAAACGTTTTGAGTTTACGTACAAAATATTTTATGATGTGAATGTGTTGTTGAAAATGAATTTGAGAAAAAAAGTAGTTTTTATTTCAGCTTAATGAGATTTATCCAACTAGAACAGAAAAAATTTTCTAGCTACAAGCCATTTTTCAATACCATCGATCTTGTATACATTTACCACTAGATTGAAAAAGAGTAATGGTATTAATAGTGAAGACTATCGACAATCGTTCTACGTGTGGCATACATGTGACTGTTTGCTATTTATAGTAATAATATTCATAATTTTTATTATCTCATGCATCTAATAACAAATTGTCACGTGTATGCTACTTTGGAGGATTACCAGTAATTTTCACTATGAATATCATTATTCTTTAAAAAAAATGACTTCTGACAAGGATGGAAAATTGCTAGGGGTGGTTTACCCTACAAAAAACTTTTCTTTGATAAAACTTCAAAACCATCTACTGAATGGCTGAAAGGTGCAAAACCACCCCTTTAGCCTGCCACTACTTTTTCAAAAAGCATGAGCATGAGCATGAGCATGAGCTTTACATCGAATTTTTTATTTGCAAAAGAAGCATGTGAAAAATCCACCAAAATATCCTCCTTTCTTCCTCACTCCACTATATAAAGAGATCATATGTTCTTCCTCTGCGTTGTGTTGGATATGTGAAAGGAAATCTTCACTGAACTTGAATAAGTTCACAAGAATATCTTCACTAAATCCACTCGAAAACCCTAATTTTCAAAGATGAATAATTCTATCGGCGTAGGCAAGCTTCAAGCCATGAAATATTACAAGAAATCCCAGTTTCTTTACAGCTTTATTCTATACTCCCTTACGACTTTAATTTCTTGTTCGTTTATTTTTTACCCTTTCTGGCTCCCCACCATGAACAGCCTTTCTTCAGTTTCTCTTCCCAATATTTTCACCTTTCTCTTCACTGCCAAGTTTCTTTTCGTGGTCGGAAATATCATCGTCATCATCCTCATCAAAGAATCTAAACAGGCTGCAGGCTCCAATATATCTCCAGTGACAGAGATTTATGATAAATACGTTGCCAAAAATCGCTCCAATTATATTCTTGCAAACAAGAAAGTACAGGAGGATAAAATAGAAAATACTGAAGATAAAATATTGCATATGCATACAGAGAAGAAAAAAGAAATGAAAATCGGAACTGATATTTCTAGCATAGCAACAGTTGAGCTAGCATTGATCAAGAGGGGAAAAAGAGAGAAAGAAGAGGAGAATTATATACCTACTGAGGAATTGAATCGAAGAGTGGAGGCTTATATTGCAAGAGTGAACAGACAGAGATTGCTTGAAGCTAAATCATTAGTGTGCAGAAGAGCGTGAGAAATGGGGATTTAGTGAAGGAATTATAATGGAAAAGTAGATTAAATAATTATGTTTTCTCTATATAAATTGTATTTAAGGAAAATTTTTAAGTTAATTTTATGAGATTGATGTACTAACCTAATGACGTATAATCAATATATTCTACTCTTGGATATTAATAATAGAATTCTTATGAAATTTTGCATTTAGATGGTTGAAACATATTTTTAAAATATATGTAAAAACGATAAAGTCTCTCATGTCTTGTTGAATGGATCAAGAAAGCAAATTTTAAAATCAAACAAATTATGGTAATTACAAGAATCCCACAACTCGTGACAATCGAGAATCAAACTTTAAAGTTAACTCATTAGTGGCAATAATAAGAATTAGCCCCTGTTTGTTTCACATTAGTAGAAAAAATTGAACCGTTGATACAGTAGAATATCAGTCATATTTGACCAGTTTGTGTGTTTGTGGGACCCACTTTGTTTGAAAAAAAAGGGTAAAAATTTTCATCTTCTTACTTAAATAATGTGAAACAAACAGGGGCTTAAGATCTCACAACCAGTCAGGAAGATCAATAAAGAAATTCTCGGCAATCTTACAAGTCAGGGACAATATATTCAAGTGTGGAAGAAAGCTTTTCCATTTCTATAACGAATTTGAATTCAACCTTTTTGTGTATAAATATTTAATGCTCATAATACAACACTTGTTTGAGAATGAAAAAGTGAATAAAATTTTATTTAATTCATATATAGCTTTCTCAATTTTTCTCCTCTCTTATACTAACACGAGGGGCTTTAATACATTAGATGTAATATTGATACAATAGTCATAATAGATAGGGGTTATTGATGTTTTCAGGATTTAATTGCTTCAATCTTCTCTTAAATTTCGTATTCATACAATAAATTATGACCTTGTTTGACAATCATTAAGACAAAATTCCTTCTTTTTTTTTTTTCTCAAACTCATTTGCAACTACACATTCTCACAATAAAATATTTTATATGTTAACTTTTTTTTTTTTTTTACTTTTTAACTACACATTCTAAAAAATAATAATAATAATAAAATCAATATTCCAAAAAAAAATTTCTGACAAAAAAAAAAAACTCATTGTAATGGTTATCAAATAGGAGCTATATAACAATTATACAGTAAATTAGTATTTGATTAACAAATAAATTTTCTTTTGTGTGTGTGTGAGAGAGAGAGAAGTCTAATTAGGCAACGAAGTGTGTGGACCTTTTGAGTAATTGAGCATATGGGAGTTGGAATAGTTGATCCAGTCATTCCTTCCTTAGCATAGAAGAGATTATACTTTCTACCCGAATTAATACTTGCCATTCCTATCTTGGCATCTAAAAGAAATTAGGGTAGATTGGGGTTCGACCTTTTAATATAAATACAATATTGGCATTCAATGATGAATGCCCTTCAAAATTTAGTTAGTTCAATACAGTTCCCGTATGATCAACTTTATGAAGGGTAAAATCATTAGAGCTTTATGCTAACGATGTCACAGGACAATGTTGCCTTTTTTGAATGGTTTATGTCATTTGGGTGGAGTCGTACAACTGAATAAGAATGGTAAACGACAATCTCACTCTATTTCGTAGGTTGGGACTAAGTTGCAACTCGAAATGAATTAGGAAACAATGAGGCAATTCTTCCTACACTTAAACCAATGTCTTACCTAACAACTAACAACTTAGGTACAAAGGGAAATTGAATTGATGGAGACATGTTGGGAATGGAGATCAATTCCTCATTTTGTCCATATACAAGATCCTTGTTCAAATAATATTTTTTAAAAGCTAGATAAAAAGGTAAAATAGATGAAGAATAACAATACAAAGATTTATGTCAAAAATTTCAAAACAAGAGAAAAATCATGAGTTGTTAAAGATAAATATATTCCATTGAATGAAAAAAAATTGTACAATCATATGGAACTCTCAAACGACCAAATCCCAAGCACAACCCAAAATTGGACCAAGTAAGACTACAAAAGATGTCTAAATCTCATCCCAAGATAGTCGATAGCTATCTTACCGACTAATAAAGAAAATATAACAGAGAGAGCTCTTATTAACAGGAAATAGTTAAATAATTTTATTCCATGTATGAAACGATAAACCACTCTTCTAATAGAACACAAATCCTTCTACTAGGAAACAAACAATAAAAATTGAATTATTTTTTAATTAGGGTATAAACAAACAATAAAAATAACTTTTGCTAAAACATTTACAAATTTACACTTTATATAAGTATATTTACACTTTATATAAGTATCCCCTCTGCAAGGGCGAATCTAGTCCTGAAATTCAGCACGAGCGGTCGACGATCATTTACTGTTTACCGCAACGACATAAATGACGATATTGATCATTAATTTTTAATTAAATAATATTA